TGTCTATCTTCCCTCTTCCCTCTATTTCATCCCCTGGGATCAACTCGGCTACACCAGCCCTGCATAAATGCCCCCTTCCCTCTGTCTCATCCCGTGGGACCAACACGATTCCACCAGCCCTGTGTATCTGCCCCCTTCCCTCAGTTTCCTCTCCTATGACCAGTTTGTGTAATTATTATTGTGTCCTAATTATTTTCTAAATAGGCTAATGGAATGGGGCACCCAACTCCCATTGAATTTAAATATGATTTGGGTAACCAAGTTCCTTGAGGTTCTGTGGATATTTCAGCTTGTGGATCAAGCTGTGAGCCACTAGTGTTGGTAACTGGTTGTGTCTCCAACCTATTAAGTCAGCGATTTGCCAAGTGCCCTAGGAAATTCCATTCCACGTCGTAGAAACATGAAAGATGAGGGTTGGAAGTGTCCTCCAGACGCCATCTTGTGCAGCACCCTATTAAGCCCAACTAAACCACCTCGTCATTTCAAATAACCAGCCAGTGTGTGTGTCCAACACTGACCCCTACTGGGCGGGGTCAGAGCTGGTCACATATTGTTTCTAGGGTCTGCTTTAGGATCCTCCCCCAGTGATTCTCCTGTAGGCTGAGTGGATGGAGCTGGTGTCTGTGGCTCCCGAAGAAGGAGCGTTCTCACCTCCTTATGAACAGGAGCTCCTATGAAGAGATGCAGAATGGCGGTGAAGATCCCAGTTGCACACAGTATCTTCAGCAGGTACAATTGGCTTTCAACAGTGGAAACGCTCAGGGGCTAAGCCCTAAAGCCCTAGCAAAGCCCCCACTGAACTGAATTAATCACATTCCGAGCTGGTGTATCCTGATGTAGTGTCATTGATGTCCATGAAACCACATCCTGAACCTATGAAGTTAGAGGGTGACTTGCCTGGGGAGGTTGTGGAATCCCCATCTCTGGGGATATTTAAGAGCAGGTTGGATTGACACCTGTCAGGGATGATCTAGATGGTGCTTGGCACTGCTGTGAGGGCAGGGGACTGGACTCGATGACCTTTTGAGGTCCCTTCCAGTTCTAGTGTTCCATGAGTCTATGACCTAACTCCATAAGAAGTCTGTGAGGTAAGATCCTGAACTAATATAAATTAGATAGCAACACTGGAGTCAACGTTTGGACCATTATCAGACCAAGATTGCATGCCTGTCTAGATCTGGACTCAGCAGTTGTTTTGGGGAATGTCTCTGGCCAGTTCTCTACCGGACATCAGGCCAGATTCTTCTGGCCTTGGAATCTAGCAAGTTAATGGGGTAAACCTCAAATAGGGGGAATCAACCTAATTCTATTAAAGTCAGAGGACAAAATGCTCCAGGGAATTACACTGATTCACAGGAGCTGAGGTGGGGGCACATCAAGAGCTGAGAGAGAGAGTCAAAGCCAAGGAATCACAGAATGTCTTCTCCTACATCATTGTGACTGAAGAAATCTTGGACAGGGAGCAAACCACAGCCTCCCCTTCCTTCCAAGGTATTTGAAAATGCCATACAGTAATAGACTTCAAGGGTCAGATGCAGAAAGGTAGAGACAAGTCCTTACAGGAGGGGGATTCAATCTTTGTATGCTGAAGATCAGTTTTGGAATTTATGGGGCACCCGGGATATATCCCACCCCTTCCCTGAGGCCCTCTCTTCCCCCAAAGTCCCGCCTACTCCACTCCCTCCCTTGCTTGCTCTCCTGCATCCTCACTCACATTCATCTGGCTGGGGCACGGGGTTGAGATGTTGGAGGAGGTGACGGTTGAAGGTTCTGGGAGGGAATTTGAGTGCAGGGGTGGGGGATTTCCAATCTGGGGCATGTCCAGGAGCAGATAATCAGGACAAGAACCATTTTTCCCCCCTTCATGTCAACAGGCCTGATTCTGGCTCTCATTCACTCCAGTGCTAATCTAGAGTTCCTCCATTACTACCAATTCCACTGATTCCCGTCATTGATTACAGCAAGAATCTACCCCACCCATGCCTCGGGGGGGGGGGGGGGTGACCCTGACCCCCTTGGTGTAGTGCTTTGAAAGCCACCAACATAAAGCACAGAATAAGAACCAAGTATTATTGTCGTTGCTCGGCTGGCCAAAGAATCTGTCCCGTTGTGCTCTGTTAGTTGGCTCTATTTCCTCAGGCCTAGATCCAAGAACAATGGGTGGAGGTTTGACATGTGGAAGCTGCTCTGAATTTAGTGCAGGGCAAATTTAGGAAGGCACGCATGTAAGTTTACAAACCCCATGCTGGCTGGTAGGAATTTGAGCACCTTCGCTGAGCACTGACCCTTGAGGTAGTTGGTTAATGGTCCCTCAAGCAATTCCCCCTTGTTCTGAGAAAGTCTGTGACTATTTCTGAAGAGTGTGTCCCAAGGTGGCTCGAGCTACTGAAATAAGCCCTCCTGCATCGAACACTCTTATTTTGCCTGAACAGAGCACGTAACTCAGCAGTTGAGTGTAGGAGAAAGTGACATACATAGAAGACAGGTCCTTAGCAGAGGGGAAGCAGACAGTAGCGTATAAGCTATAGCCAGTTCCTTTCCAATTATTAGTATATACGGAGATATACTGGACAATTTATAAAGGCCGTTGGATGGTTGATTTCATTAGAGAAGGCAGCGTGCTTGAGTGCTTTGAAAATATCCCAAAAGTGTGTATTCAAGAAGCAGTGTTGCCTGCTTTGTCTCATATCAATGTGTTGTTTTTTCTCTCCATACCTAGGAAACCAGTTTTGCTTTACACTTGATTTGATAGCAACTGCATTTCTCATACAGGATGCCTGCACAGACCTGCCACCTACACAGTGAGTATCCTCTGAGGTCCATGAATATCTTTCTAGAATGTCAAGGGGTTACCTCGACATGGGCATGGTGGTATCGTTCCTAGCATTCGAAGTGATGCTAGTTTAGAGTCCTGATACACAGCATATTTTGCAGACTGATTTGCTTTTGTACTGCTTGTGCTGGTTGGTTTAGGCTTACATTATGAAAAAAATTTTAAGGAGTTAGATGCACCAACCCCATGAAATGGGTTGGGTTTAATAATTCCATCTGGCATCTGCTACACTCGCCAATATAAAAACCAACTAATTTCACATGAGTTTCAAAGTTAGTTTCTGGTCAGTTTCCCCTTTTGGCAGCTTGAAGAATAATGGTCATTTTGCAAAATATCCACAGACACTTGACACCTACCAAAATAAAAGCATCTTTCCCCATAGTTACTCCTCCAAGGTACAGCTGGTGGCTTTAGAGAAATGCAGAGAACACAGCTCTGCTCTATTCCAGCAGCACAATTACTTAATACATTTCACAGAATTGAGGGTGGGCAGAGACCTCACAAGTCATTGAGTCCAGTCCCCTGCCCAAAGCAGGGCCAACCCTAACTAAAAGCTGGGGTTCTAAAACTGGGAGTTCAAAACCTCTAGGGATAGAGATTCTACCTCTTCCCTAGGGAACCCATCCCAGCGCTTCTCCACCCTCCTAGGGAAATGGTTTTTCCTAATATCCAACCTAGACCTCCCCTGCTGCAACTTGAGATCATTGCTCCTTGTTCTGCCTCCATTGAGTACAGCCTCTCTCCATCCTCTTTGGAACCCCCCCTTCAGGGAGTTGAAGGCTGCTCTCAAATCCCCCTCACTCTTCTGTAGACTAAATAGGTTACCCTCAGGAAAACATCCCGAAGAGAGTACAGGCTGCAGACACGCACATTAAATTAAAGAGAATGACGACACATTGTATATCAGGGATCCCTTTAAAAGTCCTTCTGAAACAGGCTGGGGATGTTTGATTTTTATCAGTAAATTCTCATTAATGTTGATCTCACTGCACACCCAGAGAATATCATAAAAATATTTCCATCAATAATCCAAACCCATGGACAGCCAGTATAAGCAAATACTGCTGGAAAGCTTTTAGCATTTAGTTTAAGGGTGTTTCCGTTGTGCTTTTTGAGAGGTCATATTGCCAGTGTTTTGATGGTGATAAGCCTTCATCATTGGGAACCTCAGCCTCCGCTGCCATTAAATAGTTATTCGAGCTTTTCCTTCTTGTCTGACCTAGAGTGCATCTGTGAACAGTTAACAGATAAACATGCAGGTAAATGCTTAAAAGCCATTACAGAGGAGAGAGACTATAACAGGGTTCAGAAAAGTGCTAGATAAAGCTTACAGAGGATCGGTCTGCCAATGGCTATTAGCCAGGACAGGCGGGGAATGGGTGACAGGAGAGGGATCACTTGATGATCACCTGTTCCGTTCACACCCTCTGGGACCCCTTGCACTGGCCACTGTCGGAAGTCAGGACACTAGGAGAGACAGAACTTGGATCGTTCTTATGTTCCTATTTTTCAGAACAATGAAAATTTCAATCCATAAATATAGAAGAGCAAGGTTTCAATTAAGACTTGATGAGAGCCAGCACAATTATGCAAAAAACCAATGTTTAGGCTGCATAAGTGACTGAGAGGAGGCTGCACTGTGGGTGTGCGTCTGAACCACTGAATGGGCTGAAAGGTTTGCCAGGCTGTGCGTCCTAGCGGCACTCACAATAACCCGGTGACGATTCATTGTTGAAGAACAAAATACGGGCGGTGGTTGTCCAAGTTGAACAGCCACATTGGTCCCAGTATTATGTGTCGGGCACCAAAGTCATCCCCTGGTTTCTTGTGTGCTCCCGGCTCTGGGGTTCAGAGTAGGCAGATGGGATCTGCAGTGCTTGGGTCTCATGTCAGTGCTGGGCAGGTCAATGCAATGCAGCACTGCACACAGCAGCTGGGGTCCCATGTCAGTGCTGGACAGGGATGTTGGGCAGGTTGGTGCAGTGCAGCACTGCAAACAGGGCTCAGCTTTGTTTCACTTGACCCACTGTGGATCCTTGGCCAAGCCCTGCACACCCCAACAGGTGCATTCACTGAAAGGCCATAATTATGTAGATCACTGTCTGACTAAGCCCTCTGGTATTTCATGGCTCTTGTTTCATCCATTTCAGCATGGAAAACTGACTGAATGGCGCAGCAGAATCAAACTGCTGTGATGGAATTCATCCTCCTGGGATTCCCAGGGAGTCCATATTTGCAGATCTTCCTCTTTGTGCTCTTCCTCTTGATGTACACCCTGACGGTCCTGGGAAACATGGCCATTATTTTGCTAGTGGTAACACATCGCCACCTCCACACGCCAATGTATTTTTTCCTCTGCAATCTCTCCTTCCTGGAGATCTGGTACACCACCTCCTCTGTTCCTAAAGCTCTTGCTGTCTTCCTGGGGAAAAACAAAACCATCTCCTTCACTGGCTGTCTCCTACAGATGTACTTCGTATTCTCCTTTGGCTGCACGGAATATTTCCTTCTATCTGTCATGGCCTATGATCGCTATTTGGCCATATGTTACCCATTGCATTATAGCACCATTATGAACAGCTCTTTGTCAGCTCAGCTGGCTCTTGGCTCTTGGGTGTTTGGTTTCCTGGCTATGTCCCCACTGGCCTGTCTAACATCACAGTTGTCTTTCTGTGGCTCTGCCATCAATCACTTCTACTGTGAGATCGAATCCTGGATCGTCATCGCTTGCACGGACATATCTACCATTGAGCTGTTGGGTTTGACCACCTCAATCATTGTTATCCTGGGCTCATGCGTCATAACGCTCCTTTCCTACATCTACATCATCTCCACTATCCTGAAAATCCCCTCGGCCCAAGGCCGTCAAAAGGCGTTCTCCACTTGCTCGTCCCATCTGGCCGTCGTCCTCATCTGGTACGGCTCCACCATTTTCCTCTTTGTCAAGCCTGAAAGGAATTTTTTGGAGATGACCAAGATAGTCAATATTCT